ATGTGTTCCTTATGAAAAAATATGTTTATTGTGCATTAACAGAGGACTGTAAACACAAATAATATAACAGTATAAGTGGTTTGTCCTGAGGCGCACAAACAGATTCATAAAAGAATATTAATGACACCTCGGTGAGTCTGATGATGTCATTTATTATCAGCTTGAGCTGAAGAAGACTTTGACAGTGTTGTTGTAGATTGTGTTGCCCAGCTCCAGTGGATCCTCCTCCCTCGCTGCTGCCATCACCTCCAGGACTTGTCTGCAAGAGACAAATAGTGAAATCTTAAAATTAAAGGTCTATTGTGTTTAACAATATTCATGCTTCAGTGCGACGTCTGATTGTATCCATTGGATTTATAAAGCGTTTCCCTTTAGTGACTCACATGATATGACAGGGCTCATTCCGGTCCTTCAGGCAGTGTCCTGCCTCCCACTTCTTCTTTGTGGGAAATGTAGTTTTAACACATTTGGACCCGGCATGAGTGTTCTTCACACCACACCACGTGGCGTCTGTCATATAACAAAACGAGTAATTACAACAGCTTCATTATCGTGCTGATTATTTTCAAAACAGATTATCTGTCTTTAGCCTACAACATAAAAAACTATAATAAACACCTAAATTCTACACGGGTCATGAACTGAGTTTAATAACAATTATTAGTTTTAAAGAATTTATTTCACTCCATTGGTAATCTTTATAGTGACTCACTGCGAGCTACGACATACTTTAAATACTTCTTTGACATACTTTGAAGCACAGGTAGGTTTTCATTAAGAAATTACTAGACGATTCTTTTAGAAATATTAACAATTAACAATTTTCTGTCAGCTAAGTTACTAAATTGCTTGGACACATCTAAGTACACTGAGAACTGCTCTGCTTTTTAGACATTTCCATTTTGTAGTCGTTAATATTTAAATGAGAGATGAGCTACTGGATGTGCTGATTTGCATCATTTTATCTCAGTTGATTTAAACTTTGTGTAGCTAGGACTACAACCCTACACAGCTTACAGCTGTCCTTAATGAAGAGCAACCACAGGCTGTATGCAGAGGAGCTTCACGGACAGGTAAAGGGTTTGACTTGGTTAAATCTAATATATACAGACCAGCACAGAGGTCATGCTGTGCTATAGCTTCTTCATTGCCAGCACAACAGCACCAACTGCTGATCAGTCTACTATGAGCTGCCATCATGGCAGCTGAACTACTGTAAAGCTGAAATAAAGTGCCCGGTATACTG